CCCAAACACTCAACACACACACACACACACACACACACACACACACACGCACAGATGATGCAACTTGGATTCAAGGGTAAACAGCAGTGGGAATGCATGTTTGGATGGTAAGAGCGTGTGTGTCGCTGTGAGATGTTTGTATGTATGAGCGTTTGGGTGCCGAGAGTCTGTTGTTTTATACATGCTGTGCTGGTGTGTGTTTATTTCTGTATCTGTAACACAAGCAGCGCATCAACAACTCAAACTCGGGGCACGTACACACTACAGTTTACAGAACACCGAGAAAGCACTGATTTCAATTGGGATGCTGCACAGCAAGGACAAAAACCAGGATTTGTGACACTCCATCATGTGGTCAACAGTTCACAATCTGATGGAGATCCACCGACCAATGAGAATTTGAGAGCTCCACTTTTAAAAATCAGATTCATTATGATATTTCTGATACATATTTCAAACTGACCCGACTCCTGCCACACCCTTAAAATGAATCTTACATATTTTTTTGCATCAAATATATATATTTACACAAAGATTTATGTATAAATACAGTGGGTTCGGAAAGTATTCAGACCCCCTTAAATTTTTCACTCTTTGTTATATTGCAGCCATTTGCTAAAATCATTTAAGTAAATTTTTTTTCCTCATTAATGTACACACAGCACCCCATATTGACAGAAAAACACAGAATTGTTGACAAAATTAAAATGACTAAAACACACAATAGTATTAATAAAAATGTAACGAAATTTAAAATGTAAAAATAAAAATATTAAAATATTAAAATAAAGACGAATAATATCTCAAGGATCCTAAAATAACATTTAAAAACATTTTTAAAAAATCTAAATTGTTCCAAACTTTATTTGCCAAATATATTTGCATGCATTTTATTCTGGGATAAGGTGTTACAGTGCTGGGATACATGTGAGTGTTTTTTTACAGCTAAGTGAAAGCTTCACAGCTGTAACACATCCCAGAGGAGAGCTTAGTGAAGGATGTGTAGCCTTTGCTGTTTCCATCAGGGCCATAAAGTGTGTGTGTGTGTGTGTCCAGGTTTTGGCCTTGCATAGCTCTTGATGGCGTTTTACTGATGCTTTATATAGATGCAGCTCTCAGTCTGTGTCTCTGGCCATTAGTGTGTTTCTGTATATAGCTCAGTGCTGATGGGGAGAGACCAGACCTGGACTCATAAAGATGATAAAGTCTGCTGCAGCATCAGGTCTGGACACTCGCAGAGGCTGTCAAATGCACAAAACCAGAGTTTATGATAGAATTCAGACTCCAGTATGTTTTAACATGTTTTACAAACTAAAAATATTTCTGTAACATATTTTAATGTTTTTTTAATGCATTTTTAAAAATATATATAAATGTCTAAAATATTTGTAGCCTATATTTATTTTCATATTTGTATTTGTACTGTAATATTTGCATTATTTAATTTTATTCGTAAGAATAGCCTACGACAAAAAGCTTCTTTTGTTAATGTTTACATATTTTTTAATTATTTATTTGTATGTATTTGTTAAAACATATCTAGATATCATATAATATGTATTATACATTATATATTATACAGACTGATTCTGACATCATTTAGTGAATCTGATGTGATTTAATAACTGCTCTGATTCAGTGAATCATTCATTACAGTGATTCAAACGGTTAAAGGGATAGTTCACCCAAAAAATTAAAATTCTGTCATTAATTACTCGCCCTCATGTCGTTCCAAACCCGTAAGACCTTCGTTCATCTTTGGAACACAAATTAAGATATGTTTGATAGACACGATCAAGGCAGAAACATAGCAAGGAAATCGTTAAAATAATCCATGTGACATCAGGGGTTCAACCGTAATTTTACGAAGCTACGAGAATATATTTGTGCGCAAAGAAAACAAAAATAACGACTTTATTCAACAATTCGTCTCCTCCGCATCACCCTGGCACCATTTTGGAGAGTATCACATACGTAACAAAGAATGCTGTTCTGTGTCAGGAGCACCGTACGCGGAAACGTTGTTTACGCTTTGATCTGAACGTAAACAACATATCCGCGTACATACGTTGCATACGTTGTTTACGTATGTGATACTCTCCAAAATGGCGCTATAGGGTGACGCAGAGGAGACGAATTGCTGAATAAAGTCATTATTTTTGTTTTCTGTGCACACAAAAAGTATTCTCGTAGCTTCGTAAAGTTACGGTTGAAACAATGATGTCACATGGACTATTTTAACGATCTCCTTGCTACGTTTCTGCCTTGATCGTGTAAGGGCACTTGCTGTCTATGGGAGGGTCAGAGAGCGCTCGCAAGGCATCGAAAATATCTTAATTTGTGTTCCGAAGATGAACGAAGGTCTTACAGGTTTGGAATGACATGAGGGTGAGTAATTAATGACAGAATTTTCATTTTTGGGTGAACTATCCCTTTAAGTCCCAATCTTTTTGATTGATCCATTTAAAGAATCAATTTAAAAGAGTCATTTGTTCATCAGTGTCATTTGTTTGTGAATTGGACTCCACTGATGTGGTTTATTTGTTTTTAAGTGCAGCCAGCAAAGATCGTTGATTATTAGTTGTTTTGGGATTATTTGACAGTATCTAGGACTATGATTCAGTCTGCAAACTTCAAATTTGATTTTTGTGGCCTAAATATCTAATCTTCTCTATGATTTCCTGTCCTCTTGCCATTTTTGTGTGCGAAGATACAGTAGAGGTATATTGCTGCGTTCAAGTCCTCCTGGGACGTCGTAATTACGACATCAGGTGCGTTCAAGTCAGTTTAGTCGGCACAAGATGGCGGTGTACCTTCTTTTAATAAATTACAAGAAAATACAACAGGGTCTGTTAACTCTGCTTATAGAAAATTAAGAGCAAAGAATTCACATCAGGTGTGTTTTTCACCTATAGGTGCAAAAATTATAGCATTTTTTTACTTGGATTTCATTAACTAGCTGCGTAACAAGAACATGACCAATTTAAGTTTATAGGACAACTAAACTATCAATTTAAACAAAAATTTACCGTCAACTACAGACGTTGCATCCATCGATTCCGCCATGTTTCTCATTGACACACCCCCAACTCGGAAACTCGGGGCTTAAAGAAAATTTCAAGTTTCCCACTCGTAATAACGACTTTGTGGTGGTGTTCATGTGCGTTCAACTCGTAAATACGATCTATCGGACATGACTTGAACGCACCATATATTCTCTTTGTGTGTTTGTGTTTCAGAGGACAGGAAGCTGTTTGTGGGCATGTTGAATAAGCAGCAGACAGAAGAGGACGTGTACCGCCTGTTTGAGCCCTACGGAGTGATTGAAGAGTGCACTGTATTACGAGGCCCTGATGGAAACAGTAAAGGTGAGTTTGTGAGCGGGCGGTCTAATAATATCCCGTTCCCGACGTCCATTTAGAACAGCATATCTGCACTTTATTCTTATTGACCACCGGTACAGCTCTTTTCCTACTGTGTTAACAGAAAAATGTCAAACGAATTTGGTATTTTGACCAGACGAAAAAAAATAGCTCATAGGCTATTTTTGTACAACCTACATTTTTACTTATTTTTCTCTCTGCGACACTTTTTTCCTATTGTGTTGTCAATGTTAAACGAATTGTATCCTGACAAGACGAATAAAAATAAGAAATAAAGCAGACCTCTAGTCTCTGAGGTGTATTTTATATTCTGTGCTGATAAAAAAAATTGTGACCTTCTATAGAAAAAGACAAAGTCCAAACAAACAGAAAAGCAGCGTTCAACCTTGAGCATGTAGCACAGTGGCGTCGGGCAACAGAAACAGTAACACTGGAGAGATGACTATGCCACCCTAGGACTTGCACCCAGGGAAATACTATGCACCCTCAGGTGCAACTCAAGGCAACACAGGTTCAAGTCTACCAAATAAACGAGCAAGAGACGTGGGTACAGAAATATATTTTGTTTTATTAATTCAGTTAATACATTATTTTGTTAAAAAGAGTCACAAACAATAACCAACTTAAAATGATGGTACTACTTGCTGCTGATCTCCAAAATACACACACAAAAAAGTTTACAGGGCTGTGGCCAAATGGTATCAAACCTAAAGCATAAATTTCAATTATCACACACTATCAGTGCACACATTCACACACTCACACAATACCCAGTGAGATTACTGTCGGTGACACTGTACACGGTGACAAGACAGCACCACCACCACAGAAGTGTGGAAAATCTGCCTCCCTGCTTTTTGTTGGACACACAGCACCTGTAATTAGATAAACCAAATCAACTTAATAAACCACACACCAGCACACTAATTCATACTGAATAAAGAAAATATATAAACTTAATTATAACAAAATGTAATTAACTCAATTTCTAACAAAATCAAGAACACAACAGAAAAAAAAATAAATAAATTTCCAACAACTGGTTCAAAAAGACAATGAAAAGAAAAAGCAAATTAATAAACTTTAAAGATGAAATACACACAAAATGAAATAAAACAAATATTAAAGTATAAAGCCAAGATGAACCATCCAACGAAAAAGCAAATAAAAGAAAAGCAACTAATGCGTTTACAGGGCTGTGGCCAAATGGTATCAAACCTAAAGCATAAATTTCAATTATCACACACTATCAGTGCACACATTCACACACTCACACAATACCCAGTGAGATTACTGTCGGTGACACTGTACACGGTGACAAGACAGCACCACCACCACAGAAGTGTGGAAAATCTGCCTCCCTGCTTTTTGTTGGACACACAGCACCTGTAATTAGATAAACCACATCACCTTAATAAACCACACACCAGCACACTAATTCATACTGAATAAAGAAAATATATAAACTTAATTATAACAAAATGTAATTAACTCAATTTCTAACAAAATCAAGAACACAACAGAAAAAAAAATAAATAAATTTCCAACAACTGGTTCAAAAAGACAATGAAAAGAAAAAGCAAATTAATAAACTTTAAAGATGAAATACACACAAAATGAAATAAAACAAATATTAAAATATAAAGCCAAGATGAACCATCCAACGAAAAGGCAAATAAAAGAAAAGCAACTAATGCACCAAAGCAAAATTAAACTGATACAAAAAATTATACAAATAAACAAAGAACAAGACAGCAGCGTATTTCTGGGTACTGATGTTCAGACTAAACCACATGCACTGCAGCAGGAACCCTCCAACATATTACTAAAAAAAAGAAATGATAACATGTCATTAAATAAGGGTAATTCAAATATATGAAACCTGACACCCTTAAGCACGTTTCATTTATACATACCGGACACTGCAGCAGTCAGCCAAGTTAAATTGACAGGGCCGGTGTTGTACCGAATTCTGCACCCCTGCCAGATTATGCACCCCCTCGTATTGTAGAAGCAAGGGGCTGACAGTACTCAGCATTCCGACCAAACACCAGTCGCAAACATTAACCAGTTGACATCTCATACGGCTATAAATGGTACAGAAACGCTAACATTAGTATAACAAACCAATACAAGAGACGCTAAACCACACTGCTGTAATGCTTACCTTTCCAATAGACGCACAAAATCAACCCTAAGCGAGCCGTGGCTGAATTAGCCACACCGCTAACAAACACACAGTGTCGAACGCCAGTACCAGAAAGGGGGCGGGGGCACCCGAGTAACACCTCCGACTGGCACAAATCAGCCCTTTATACACCCACCTATGCCTGCTGATAGGCTAACAATATTCTAACGTCAATACAGGGAGTGGCTAACTACCCTGCCACAATCTGACGACCCGACGATGCAGTACAGAAAACATTTTGTTGCGCATCATATTTGATACATATAGCTATGTATCAAATATGACACATGCTGAAGTTGCGGTTGGTCTCGTATCGCATACCTTGTCAGTGTCGTGCGCTTGCTTAGCCCTTTGTTGTGATAAACAGTAAAGTGTGTTCAAGCGCTAGCAAAAGACAGTGTAAAGAAGTACTCTTTGAGAGAAGCAGTCAATTAGCGGAAGTTAAAAGCAGATCGTAAGTGTATTTATTTCTTGTCTCATTAGTATTTAGCTCAGTTGTCGTTGCTAGGAAACGCTTGTTTTGTTTACTGTGTTGAGACGTGCTGAAGTCGTGTTTGGTCTCGTACTGTATCACATACCTTGTCAGTGTCGTGTGCTTGCTTAGCCCTTTGTTGTGATTAGGCATGGGCCGCTTACCGGTTTCAAGGTATACCGCGATTTAAAAAATTTCACAGTTTCAAAACAGCAAATATTTTCCGTTATACCGTTCCTGTGGTATGCTCTGTTTTTCATGTCTTCTCAAAGACTGAAAGTGTAGGAATCCCTCTGGTTGAGTGCAGTGTAGAGAGTAACACGACCCTCCTCCTCCTGTTGGTGCGAGCGAGCAGTCAGTCACGTGTGTGTATGACGGCCGAAGGAGCTTCCCCTGGAATTTATGCGATCGGCAACCAGCCGTTTTTTTGTCTTATTGCAGCTTGTCTCTGTTCTGGACTTGCACAAAATGCGTTGCAATGCAATAATTTTCCAAAATGTAATTTATGTAAAAATATGAAGACTGTAAACACCTGTTAACATAGGCCAGAGACGCTGAAGACGGACACAAAGAGAAAAATACTGTAGCAGGCAGATCACTCACTGTTCATGATGCATGAACTATTGGAAGAAAATCCTCAATATTGATTTGGGGGTTTATATGAATGTGTTTCTGAGGGGAACTGACTGTCTTCAGAACAGTTTACGTGGTATTTTCTTTTCATCACATCTCTGTATAGTTCATATTAAAGCAGTGTTTCAGCGCAGTGCTGCTTTGTTTACAGCGGTAACCAAGGAAACGCCATATCTGGTGTTCCATGAGCGCCTCCTACTGTCAGAGAGTGAATCTGCTTCTCATTCAGAGCAAAGCTAGTCAGAACATTCTGTTTTTGCTTCAAACTGGGTTATTAAATCAAATTATGTATATGAAATTATATAACTAAATGATAT